GCAGCGGTGGTGCTGCAAGGAGATTAATTTGATAATTGCTTTTCGTTTTTTTTCTCGCCATTTTTTTGGTGTTTCTCCCATCGGTGCACTCTAGTACTTTAGAGGAGAATCCAGGAGAAGGAAAAAACAAAAGTGCGGTGGGGCATGAAGTGTGTGTACTCGTGCAACAATAATTTTTTTCTTTCTCTTCCCCCTTTTATCTCCCTAAACCTCGTGGACTCCGCTCTCGAGCGTCAAGTGCTACGAATGAAAAGATAAAGAACCTGCCCAAACCTCCCAGCTCCTCTTCGAGACTCACCACCAGCGACTTTTCCTTTTTGGAGGCTTTTCCAGATGCCCTTGTACCTTTGTTCTTTGTGTGTGTGTGTGTGTGTGTGTGTGTGTGTGTGTGTGTGTGTGTGTGTGTGTGTGTGTGTGTGTGTGTGTGTGTGTGTGTGGATGGATGGCCAGCGTCATGTGTGTCTTGCTGTTTGCGTACGTATTCCCATACCGCGCATGTAATCCACAGCACCAACCAACACTCGTCCACCTTGTGCTCGTTGCGTTCAGAACAACATCCTCTGGGACCTGAGCACCATCACCATGCTTGATCTCTCCTTCAACGGCTTCACCACGCTGTCGAGTGAACTCACGTGTCTGCCCAACCTGGGCGTCCTCTACTTGCACGGCAATGCCATCTCCTCCCTGAAAGAGGTGTGTGTATGTATGTATGTATGTATGTATGTATGTATGTATGTATGTATGTATGTATGTATGTATGTATGTATGTATGTATGTATGTATGTATGTATGTGTGTGTATGTATGTATGTGTGTGCGTGTGCGTATGTTCATGTACGAAACCTTTTGGTGTGTATGTGTGTGTGTGTGTGTGCTTGTTTGTGTCTCATGGTGACCAACAGCAAACGCGCCCACCCACCAACTGCTCGCACTCCGGCTCATCCCGCTCTTAACTGTGCATTATCATCCACAGGTGAAAAAGTTGCAACAACTGGATAACCTGAGGATGCTCAGCTTGCATGGCAACGCCATTGAGAAGGAAACAGGTGTGCATGTGTGTGTGTGTGTGTGTGTCTGTGTCTGTGTGCTCGTGTGCGCGCATGCAAGTATGGGCGGGATTTCAAAACGAAGTGCTATCACCCCCCCCCCACACACACACACACACACACACACACAATATCTCTCTCTCTCTCTATCTCTCTATCTCTCACTCGCTCACTCACTCACGGAGATGCATGCACGCTTCTACACATTCATCCATGTGTGCGCTCTCCAGGGTACCGGACGTTTGTCATCAGTGTGCTGCCCGGGCTGAAGAAACTGGACTTCTCGTCCATCACAGACGCAGATCGCGAGCGAACAGAGACGTGGCGGCAAGTACACGCGCCAAAGCGGCTCGCAAAGTCCCTCAAACAACCAAAGCAGCCAGAGTGAACAGAGCATGGGTGTGTGTGTGTGTGTGTGTGTGTGACTTCGTGTGTTGCTGACAATGGCACCCTCAGTGTGCTTCAGTGTCTTGTTCGTGTGCGTATGTCTGTGTGTGTGTGTGTGTGTGTGTGTGTGTGTGTGTGTTGTGCCCAACGCCTTGCGTTTTCATAATGGTGCACTGCAATGATACACGACTTGATTGTGACAATCAACGTCGCTGGCTTCACATAACATGCACACGGCCCGTGAAAGGTCACAAAGCGCCCCACTGCCTCCTGATTGCTGCGCGTGCCTGTCTGCCATCGTTGTTGTGGCCGTGTGGCTTTGTGTGTGCTTGGTGTCTGCCTGTTTGCGTCCAAGTCGGTCGTGGCGCCAGCAAAGCACAACAGAACAGCAAAGCACAAGAAAGAAGGAGCAAAGCACAAGAAGACAAGCAAAAAGCCAAGTTGTTGTTCTGTTTGCAGAGGCTCGATCCATTTGATATACAGATTTTCCCCTTGGGCACATAACAAGAGCGCGACTCAGTAGTTGAGGGGTACAATTTCCGCCTGCCAATTTCTCCCAAGCGCTTAATTAAGAGCGCTTCAGTGCGCGGGAGGCCCGGGTTCAAATCCCGGCTGAGTCACTGTTCTATTCTTTTTTTTCTCTGTTTCGCGATCCTCGCAGCCTCCCGGCACTGATTCAAAAGCTGCTCGTAACTCCCGCTTGGTCAGCACGAGACTCAGTAGTTGAGGGGTACAATTTCCGCCTGCCAATTTCTTTCTCTCCCAGTGCCGCAACGACACCCAGTGCGCGGGAGGCCCGGGTTCAAATCCCGGCTGAGTCAACGCTTCTTTTTTTTGTTGCTTTGTGTTGAGGCGGCTAAGGAAAAAAAGAAACCAAAAAAAAACGTGCTCCCTTGGCAAGGCTCGAACTTGCAACCTCTCGATTAACAGTCGAACGCGCTAGCCAATTGCGCCACAAGGGACCGTTCATCTTGGCTGCCGCGAGCAACTTCCCTCTGTTCAACCAAGAAGCAAACACGAGAGTAAACCGAAAACGGATCAAATTCATCAAGGCAAAGGAAGACACATCGACAGACCACAGTGGCGGTGGTGCGTGTTTGTGTGAGTGTGTGTGAGTGTCTGTGCATGTGTGTGCGCGCGTGTGTGAGTGTCTGTGCATGTGTTTGTGTGTGTGTGCATGTGTTTGTGTGCATGTGTGTGCTTGTATCTATGCGTGTTTGTGTGCGCACTCCCAACTCCTCACCCCTTCACCCAGCCCTCACATCGCTCAGCTTCTCCACTCTCCTTCTCGTCTCTCCCTCACACACACACACACACACACACACACACACACACACACACACACACACACACACACACACACCACACACACACACACACACTCACTCACTCACACTCAACACACTCACTCACACACACACACACTCACACACATCATGCCCTCCCCTTCATCCAGGACGCCACTGACACCAATGTCAAGTCCACCGTCCACAGTCCCATGCCGCAGCCAGCTCAGCGCACTGAGGAGACCAACAAGACCCGCTCTCCCAGGAAGCAGCCATAGCAGCAACGGCAGGCACGGCAGGCACAGCACGGTGGCCTGAGCCTTTGCGCGCACGCGTGCAACGCACTCTCGTGTGTTATTGTCACCAAT